AGCAATTGTGCTTTGTCATAATCATACAACTCACCAAAATAAAATTTTATATATTTCAACTTAAGACATGGATCTAAAATATTAGCCACATATAATAAAAAATTCTGATTTGCTTCAGAACCCCAATACTTCTCAAACTTTAACATCATGTTCATCACTATTCCACTTAAAATATTATCTCTACTTTTACACAATTGCAACAAGTTTGTATACATGTAAATGAATTCATTGAAGAAAGAATTTGATGTGACATGCAATAAGCCAGAAAATCTCAATGTAACTATGTAAAAGATCTTTAAAAACTTCAGTAAAGTTCTAGCATTTTTCCAATCCTTCAAGCTAGGTGACCCTATGTATTTTTTATTCCCCTTTGAATCAACCTCCAAAAAGTAACTCATATACCTAGATTCACTTTGATCCAACCTCACAAACCCCTTTTCAAACTTTTTAGCAGCTTCTAATATAAGATAAGTTGAATTCCATCGAGTTGTAATATCTAAACACAATGATTTCTTATACTCTATATGCAACTTTTCTGCACACTTCTTAAATGCAAGTAGCCTAAAAGGTGAAGATCTCACAAACCTAATTACATTTTAAATCTTAACAACCGAAACATTAATCTCTTTCAAGCCATCACACACAATGAGGTTTACAATATGTGCACAAAATCTAACATGCAAATGTTCATTTGATAATATATTCGTTGGCCAATCTTTCATCACATTCTTTAAATATGAAATAATAACACTATTAGAGCTTGCATTATCTATTGTAATAGTTAAAAGTTTATCAATCCCCCAATCTAACAAACAATTCTCAATAACTTGACCAATTGTCTCACCCATATGATTGGAAACTTAACAAAAATTCAGAATTCTTTTATGTAAATTCCACTCATTATCAATTCAATGAGTCGTTAAGAACATATAGTTAATGTTTTGGATTGATGTCCATGTATCTGTTGTTAAGCATAATCGTTGACCCTTAAGAGCTCTCTTTAATCTTTCCTTCTCTTCAACATAAAGTTTCAAACAATCTCTCATAATAGTGAAATGGGAAGGAATGTCCAATATAGACTACAAAGTCCTAGAAAATAATCTAAATCCCTTACCCTCCACAAAATTAAAAGGCAACTCATCAATTATAACCATTTTTACTAATGCCTTTCTACATTTATCATAATCATAACCTATTGCCTTAAGAGTTCCCACACTTTGATCTCCTAATTCACCCTTTACTTTATTAGGTTTTAATACCAATTTTTTTTGCTTCTTAGCAACCATAAAAGAAAACTTATTGCATACTTTTAAATGACTCCACATATTACTTGTCCCATTAATAATAGTATGACATGCATAATCCTTTCCACAATAATTACATTCAACTCTAGTGGTTGTAGGATCACCATCAAGTTTTGTAAAATGATCTCAAATTTATGACTTTTTTTTTATCATCAACATTTCTTTTCCTTAATGTAAGGACTTGAAGTTGTTTATCTTTATTATCCATGGTGGATCTTACAGTACTTGATGTTGGGTTGGTGTTTGAAGTTGGGGCATTGGTTGATGTTGGGGTAGTGCTAGTGAATGAAGTGTTTTGAAGGTTTTCCATCTGTAATTAACTATAACAAAATAATAGGTGGTAACAAAACTCAAATTCTAAAAGGATAAATAATAATAATTTCTATTTAATGAACTACAACATAACAAGAAGCAATCAGAATATCTATATTTTATCTTTTATGTATATATAATGTTTGGCAATTATTGGAACTATTTTTATTGCAAACACATTCAGTGCTTGATTATGCATTTGTGTTGTGTATACTGTATTTTGAATAGCAGTGAATAAATAGCAAACCATCTCATTTAAATTTGTTTCTTCATGAGGTATTTATTGGTTATGTAGATTGAATTTAGACGGACATATAATTGTGAGATCATACTTTCAAAGGTTAAAATTCCTCTACCAGACTTGATGGTAAGCTGAACCTTTTTGTGGTTGTTTGAGCTAAATTTTTCTTAAAATAATACAAAATTTAGACTATCGGCTACAATTTCAAAGCTGACAAGATTTTTATAATTATTTTATGTTTAAAGCTTCTGTAGCTATACATGAACACGTGAATGTTTGTTATAATGATTTAATTATGGTGATTGATAACTTATGTTTTCTTGTTATTCCATTTACCTAGCATTCCAATGTGATTCCTTTGGAAGTTCCACATATACCAGACTTCATGCTGTTGTAATTAGTCGACCTGAAATCTACTAAATAATGATGTGTAATTAGTTTTGAATTTGAGAAACATGTTAACCCTGATAACCGGTCCTTTTAATGTAAATGAACAAAGACATACTTTTTTTTGCTGGAGTTTGCTATGCATTCATTTAACTACTTAAATGATTTTGATCGGTTCTCTTATGTTGCTGCTTCTTTAACTATCTTACAGAGTTCAGTTCTTACTTTGGATGATACAACATTGGATATTGATAAGGTTGATAGCCTTATTAAGTTTTGTCCAACAAAAGAGGAGATGAAATTGCTCAAGGTATTAAAAATACATGTGTTACTTATTTAGTTTTTTATGCCCATAAATCCTTCACTACTTCACACAAGAGCTTTAAAATGTCACCACCAATTAATTATTTTTCTATTTGTTCACAATTTAAAACATTGATTAGCAAAAACAATCCCCATGTTCATTGAGTTAAAAACTTAGAATTAAAAACCAAGTATTTACTCCAGCAACATCAAAGTATTCAAAAACATAATTGAAAACTAAGTATTCATAACTCTAGCAAACTATTCAAAAGTGCATATAGTTCACATCAGCCAAAATTGAAAACTAAGTATTCAAAGTTTATGGTTACCTTATAAATTGATTTTCGAGTATTCAACCAAATCAAAACAACAACCGTATCTTTATTCTTTGACCCTTGCATTAAAAAAAAAATACAAATACAATAAATTAAATAGATGATAAACATATAAATATAGGCAAAATACAAGCAGCCATTAGTTAATTAATTAATTAATTAAAAATAAAAAAATAAAAATTCAATGCTATATAATTGATTCAGTTTTAGAGTAGTGGAGTATGGAGTACCTGTGATCTTGCATAGAGAAGAGGAACGTCGATATGTTTTTGAGAAGCTTGAATGGTTTCAAACGATGGAAATACAAACTAAAAGAAAATGATGAAGAGGAACTGTCTTGGATCTCTGTGTTTCTATTTTCTAAGTTTAAGGAGACTGGAGAGGGAGAAGTGGAGAGGCGAGAGGGGGCGGGTGCTCTGGCTAGGGTTAGCTGCGAGGGAGAGAGGGGACGACTGGTTGGTGTTGCAGTGTAATTAGGGTTAGCGCGGAGAGTCGAGAGAGAGGCAAGAGTGGGCATCGTTTTCAATTTATATTAATGGTGCATAGGGACCTTTTTATTCTGAACCGGTTCCTGCATTACAAAACCAAAAACCGAACCGAACCGAACAGAACCAATAATTTTTCTAACTATTCTAATAAGTTTAATCGGTTTTTTCTCAGTTTAGTTTTTTCAATTAATTTTTTTTAGTTTTCTTAGTTTATTTGGTTTTCCGGTTTGTTTGATCACCCCTACCTATCACAATACCCACCGCTGCTGGGTCTTTTTGACAAGCATAACCCAATGATGTTGGGCCCTATTGCCCAGCAATGGTGGGCCCACACAGGTACTCAGCTGCTGGGGTCATTCTGTCAAGGCCCAAGCTTATTTAGTATGGGTTAGCTACACAGACCCAATGATTGTGAGTTTGGCTGCTCAGTAGCAATAGGCCCTATAGTAAGCATGACTCAAAGTTGGTTTTATCGGGCTTTGCTCTACCAAGACCCTGTAACAAAGGGCAACTAGATTTGCAGTCTGACCCAAGTTTCTTAGGTATGATTATGCTGTTAGACCCAATGATAACAAGTTGACTTTCTAGCAGTGGTGGGCATCTGGATCCGCAACTGACCAAAGTTCATTGGGTTTGGCTCTTTTGTTAGACTCAATGATCGTAGGCCCAACTTTACACTAGAACCCAGTAGTAGTGGATCTAAGTTCCATCAGGACCTACTAAAGATAGGCTCAGCTTTCACCATAACCCATTAGCTTGGGGCCCTTTGGTCATTAGGATTTAGCAACAGCTGGCCTTGATTGTTAACAAGATCAAGAAGCATTGGGCTCTGTTTTTCAATAGGATCTAATAGCATTGACTAGGTTTGTTTTATTCAAAATTCAACCCTGTAATTGTGCCAAAGAAAACCAGTCGACCCATCGGGTCAACTAGGAACTTAGGTAACCTAGTAAAACATTGGTAATCCTTTTTTTTTCTACCAAATTTGTTTTTTCTCCTATTTAGAGATCGCTATTTATTTATATTTTTTAGTTGGCTACTAACTCATTTCAAAGTTCATTATATAAATACTAGAAGAATGCTTTATTTTTTCAATGTGTGATTTGAAGCCTTTTATTATATATATTTTATGTTCACAACAAAAAAAATATGTATTTTTAATGTGGGATAGAAAACCCTTTGAGTTTAAATATTTCAACTTAGAAGAATAAAATAATATCTTTTCAATGTAGAATAAAAATTAAATTTTTGAAGTAATCTTTTAAACTTAATTTTTTGCAATGTGTATAACATTAATCCACATGAATTATGTTTTTATTTTTTAATTTCAAATATTAAAATTTTAAATATTTTGAATCAGGTCGGATCAACCCTCTAGTCGGATTTCGTAACTATAATTTTTATAAAAAATATATTTTTTAATTTATTATGTTTTTTTAACTACAAAAATATATTAAAAAAACCTAAATAATTTTTTTTAACAAAATTAAAATATTTAATCAACGGCCGAGCATAGCTACAAAACTCTAAAACAAGTGGGCTTTCCTACAAAACACTAGGCGCTGCTAAAGTGGTCCCCACATTTTATTTTATTTTATTGGTTTTTGTTATTATTATTATATTATTGCTACACTCTAGCTAGCTGCTTTGCTTTTCCTTTGGGCTTCGAAAGTATTTGACTTGCAATCATGATGGTGCATTAAACTATTGTTGGTTTGCCAAATTGGCCACCGGATAAACCCTATATAAAGGAGTTTCTCCTTGCAAGCAAAGCAAGCAAACATTGCAGAGAAGCTTGTTGCTAGCTAGCAATTTATCTTGGCATAAACAGAAAGTTGCATTAATGGCGGCTGTGTCTTCAAAATGGGTTTATTTGCTTCTACTTTTCTTGTGCATTGTTCTTCATTCGAGTGCTATCACTCTTGGAGGCGGTGCTGGTGGAGGAGGAGGAGGTGATGGTGGTTCAGGTCCTGGCGGGGGCTTCGGAGCAGGAGGTGGTGCAGGTGGTGGTCTTGGAGGCGGTGCTGGTGGAGGTGGGGGAGGAGCAGGAGGTAGTGGTGGTATTGGTGGTGGTTCAGGTCATGGCGGGGGCTTTGGAGCTGGAGGTGGTGCTGGTGGAGGAGGAGGAGGCGGTGGAGGCGTAGGTGGAGGATCAGGCCATGGAGGTGGCTTTGGTGTAGGTGGAGGTGTAGGAGGTGGTGCTGGTGGTGGAGGATTTGGAGTTGGAATTGGCGTTGGTATAGGAGTTGGAGTTGGAGTTGGTGCAGGTGCCGGCCAGGGATCTGGTATTGGTTCTGGCAATGGTAATAGTGGCAGGCATTAAACATACTTTACCTTGAAAACAATCTTATTAATTAAAGGAAAACAGAAGATTTCTAGCTTGAAGCCTAATTAATCACCTTCTGTGATGTCAGTTTTCCCACCTTCTCCTGTAACTTCGGTTCTTATAAAACACTATTTGTCACTGTAGTTTCTGTTCCCAGATTGAGATTAAGATCGAGGCTTATGTAATGTAACTAAGAAATTAATATGAAATGAGATGCCTTCCAAAGCAATCTTGCAAACGATTCTTTTCTTTTTTTTCCTACAATCATTAGTTTACCAGTTGTTTTCAGAATCTAAGCACCTAGAGAACAGCAATTAAGTTCTTCAATGTCCACAAACTATCTGGGCATGAATTAACACAGAGACTTCACTCAAACAATCATAATATCATATGGTATTCGGCCTAGAATCCCGATTTCAGAATAAACTATGAGGATAGTGAGAGGCCCGACCTCCATGTTTAAGAGTAAGATGAACAGTGAGCCGCCTCTTGACTGGTGAGCATATGTTAGTTTGGACTTGAAGCTAACATCAGAGCAAACTGCATTGAGGTTGCTGAACAAATCTCCAGAAAAATTAAATGAAGTTTAGTTAATGATAACTTAATTATGAGGGTGAAACTCTCTGTTTCAAGCCTTACTTTTGTCGATCCATTGCTAATATATGTAGATTAATATCACACTGTATAAAGCTAGCTGTAGATGGATGACATAAAGATCACGACAATTCCCATCGATCGTCTACAAGCATTAATTTTGCTCATGGACTGCAGAAACTAGTCGAAGAACCCACAACATCTTGAGTGTTCATTGAGATTGAACGAATCAAGATTCAAACTGAAAAGAACTCACCCCATAATGCTTGTGCAAAACGAGGAAAACCATCACCTTTCAAACTAATAATATCATAATCATAATATCACCTGCAAGTGAGGTTCTGGCCTAGCGGTGGAATAGGCTTGTCCTCTTCCTTCGCACCTGGGTTCGAATCTCACCATGTACGTCTGTCACTCCCGCGGTGCCTTACCTGCTTACTGGGCTTGCAAGATGTTCAGTGGGCCGTGGGGATTAGTCGTGGTGCGCGTAAGCTGGCCCGGACACCACACGCGTAAATAAAAAAAAATAATAATAATATCATCATCAAAACCATCTAGGTGGTAAGATAAGAGTTAACAAAGCAAAAAAAAGGAATTGAAAGGCATAAACTTGGTATTAATGAAAGCAAAGCATAAACATTACAAAAAATACAAAGAGAGAAAGCAACGTTAATCTAAAAAAATTAACTAAAGCATGTTTTATAATAATATATCTAATACTATAAGATACCTTTAATTTATGGTAAATATTTATTTTAAATGCAGGCCTATCACATAAATGAAATGATTGATTGATGACTTTAAGAACTTAAATTGCAAGGGCAAAGAGTCAAGGTAAGAACTTGGGATCAAGGGGTTTGCTCCCTCTGTAGTCTCAGGTTCGAGTCCTTGGTTGCTCATATGATGACCACTGGAGACTTACATGGTCGTTAACTTCAGG